TCTATATCGATTTCATAGCCTTCTAAATCAAATACATTCCAACCATGTTTCTCAACACTACTAGTTCTATTAGTGATTGTTCTGTTGTTCAAACAAACACTATACCAATAAACTCATATGCACCCTTATCTCTTTCATTACTTCACTGTATTCACTAATGCAAGCGGTTGCTGCCTTATGTTCTTTGTCTCATTGAGTTTGCGTATCAAATATTACAAACCACCTGATTGTTCACATTCCACAAACCTTTTATATATATGGCCTCCTATAGGACACCATGGCATACTAACAATTTTTGATGGCATACTTACAAACCGGAAACATATATATCACCTACATCGAATATCAAAATTGTATCAGCTGCTAATTGATAGCATACTTACAATTATTGCAGCTGACCGAGCATCCACTGGTTCCCCATTTTTCCGAGTATGTGTTAGTGTAAAGAATGTAATGCAGTCCGGTTTGCTTCCATTCACTTGTTCCTGTTAACATAAAATGTCAAACAACCAATAGACCAGAAATTTCATGAGATTGTTTTCATCCAGCACCTTCATTCCATGTGCACTAAACTGTACTTAAGTTACCATAACACAAAACTGAAGGAAAATCCTTACATGTTCATGTTTGATTTGCGCAAAAGACTTGGTTCCAGTCGTGTGATATATTTGTAGTGCCTTCCTGTTCTTTCTAGATGCCGTAGCACGCTTCTACATATGTCAATTGTATCATGCATTAGCGGGGCTATGTGAAAACAAAATTCATCCTAATTTCCAATACATACAATCCATACATTTATCATTCACATAAATTCGCAACTAAATCAAGCATATATGGTGTATAAACAAGCAAGAACATTTGATCACTGTGTGTGGTACCTGAGCATCTCCGGTGTCCCATAGTTGTACTAACAATTTCCATTGCCCTTGGTTGACCCGGCCATCTTGACAATGGAACCTCTCCGCTGATGGTGAGTGCAGGCATGGAGTATAGTATGCCTTCTTGAGCTTTGCCTTGTAATCCTTCCATCTATCATTCATCTTCATCTCACAAACCCGCCGAATTTTTGGCTCCAATTCTAATGTGATTTCATCTGTCCAATCAAGAGTCCCCTGCCCATTTAGATATATATGTTGTTGTTAATTATGCACCATTACTTAATATATGAAATATGAAACAAAACATTTACTTTGTAATACCCCTGCAGTAGGTTTGAAATTTTTTTTAATAATCGTACATTTTAGCCTTACATGACACAGTTAAAAGAAGGCTCATTACACATCACCAATCTACAAGGATGCTGCCTTTTAGTGCTGCATTATGTGCAGTGGACCCTATTGTAATCGTATATGGTGCCTATTACGACATAATTGGTGCGTCTTATTTCAAATATATCACATTCAAGCATAATTTGTTCTAGTTCTACTTTCTAACTGACCACCTGCAGAATATTTGACATAACCAATGACGAGTATTAACTGGTGTATGGATAACAGTAGTTAAGGTCAATTAGTTTTGGAATGAAGGCATACTGTGTATTGATGGCATACTTATGGCTAACAGCAGTTAAACTTGTGTATTGATGACATACTTATGCATGTACAACAACAGTTAATGTAATGTATTGATGGCATACTTATGCCTTCAACGTGCGTGTTGAGTAAGCAAACAAAAGGCCATGTGATGGCATTTTGTGGGTTTTATTTATTCCAGGGTTAAATCTAAATGACAGTGACATAACTTTCTATCTATACAGCAAAAACAACCAACCATATAAGCAATATCCTTATGTTGAGTTACCTTAATCCTCTACCAAGCACGATCCATGTTTGAACCCCTGTAGAAATGCCTCCAATCAACTACGTTAATCGGAAAATATGATGCTTCCTGAGATAGCATTCCTAAAAACCTAGAAAATCTAGCAACAGTGTGACGAGGCTCTACCGGCTGCCCTTTCTCATTAAATTTCATCACCTCTTTCGTACCATTAGGTGCCCAATGTGGCCTATTTATGCCCCTAGGTGCCTGTGCTCTGCAGGTCATACGTGGACGTTCATCCACGCTACCTTCGACATTATTTGGAATCGGGAAATGATGTATGTGGTCGTGTTCCATCAAGTTGAATGCTGGTGGTTCAGTTTCGAGGCCTTCGTCAATCAACATTGATGCAACTGAGTTATTGATGCTGACCCACAGTACCTTCGAAATTACCTTTCATGTAAACAGAACACAAGTGTGTTCAATTAACAGCAGTAAACAAAATCATTTACATTTAACACCTCAATTAATTATCTGGTAAGAAGAGAACAATAGTACATACCTCCTGAAATGGCTTCAATGTAACCTCTGTGCCCTCCAGATATTTTCGTCTTTGAGTTGATAGCTTGATGCAATTAAACAAGTCAAGTGATATCTATGAAGCCATACACGTTCCCTATTTGAAATACAAACTTCAAATATTTGCAGCCACATTTAAGTCGAGAGGCAACTCCTCCCGCCTACTAACAATAGTAAAACCATTATTTAATTGATATACACTTATGGAGTTCGCCCCTAGCCACACAAAATGGCCAGCTGTTGATATTAACGAATAAAAAAAATATAGGAACCCATTAAATAATTTATCAGTCTGTGAGGTGGCAGATTTGGAATTCATGGTTGATGAGATTGGCATATGCCATGTGCGGTCAAATATCCCTGCTTTTGTAAGGAGAATCCCGGGACTTAATTGTTGACACCCTAATTAATTTTTTTAAACTCAGTGGGTGTGAACTTACAAGTGCCCTGCCCTCCATTCTAATCTCATTTATAAATATCAACGTTGAAGAGGTTGTTGGACTTACAGCAGTTTCAACTTCATCTCAAATTTACACCAAATCACCAATGTCCCATTTATTCCCAAACGTTCGCAGACAGCTATTTTGTAACACAACTGAACCCCTTCTTCCTGCGGTGGATCATGAAGTGCTTGGTCCCATGATGCCTGCCCCAACCAATAACACTGCAACCCCGGTTCCCACCCAAGAAAACCTTGTCCCTGTGCTCACTGCCAATCATGAAGATCCTGATTTTTGGCGTTACCTACAGGCTAACTTTCACGTCGATTTCGAGTTCGAGCAAAACCCCACACTGGACTCAGGTGCCAACCGGCAGTTCGAATCCCCTGCAAAGACAACTGCTGCCTGGGGTGAATGGAAAGACTTTTCGCATGGCTCTAACATGCCCGTTTACCCTCATCCATCACCCAATCCCTTGATCAATCTTTATTGTCCTCGTTATGATGAGGCAGCGAAAAATGTGATCTTGAAAGATGAGCATTTTCCATCTGATCTTCCAGGTTTTGGTGTGAACGTGGTTCCACCCTGCTCCAACGAAATCGGCCACGTGAAGCATGGTAGCCGTGGAAAACAACCTTGCATCAGTGGTGATACTGAGAAATTAATGACCAGTGGAAAGCAACCTTCCATCAGTGGTGACACAGTGAAAATAATATCATCTTTTTTCCCCGGTGATTCATACCGCTTTGATCCTATTGAGATTTGCAATGCTGTACACTTCGATTCTGATTCTGATTGTACCAGTACTGCAAGGACTAGTCATCCTCAAAAAAGGTATAAGGCTGTTAAGGAGTGTGCTGCGTGCGAATATGTGGGTGGTCAAGAACATTGTGATTGGATGAATCGTGCTACAGGTCAAACAAAACAGCAAGCCATCCCCAAAGATATTCAAAATGCAAAATGACCATCCGATGACGCTTATGGTTAGAAGAGTTGAACCTAGCTGGGAATGGATGCTATATTCTGGTATTAGTATTCACGTATGTCCATTGCAGTTCAAGATCTCAACCTTTAAAAACAATTCTCTAGTCTTTTGCTCTATGTAAACATTCCTGCTCAGTTTGTACCACCGCAGAAGATATGGATGTTTATATTTTGAACCTAGGCATTTGGTAACTATATAGACTGCTATGTTATCTATGTTTTTGTATGGATGGTTTATGGAATCAATATCATGTATGACTACGCAGTGTATTTTGCACTTATACTAATGTGTACCAGTTTGATTTATATGTATTCAGCTACAGTTGCGATAATTAAATATCATGACAGAAAAACAAAGAAATCTGAAGACAAAATATATATTGAACTAATGCTTACATCTTCCAGAGCAGAAGAATGGTTCGAAACTTCAGAGTTTAGATGAGAAAACGTTGATTGCGAATTTCCTTCAAGATCCCCAGCTATACCATCTAAAGCTTTATTACCAGAACCATACATGTTTTTAAGCTTTCCTAATCTTCGTCGTAGTTCTTTAGTATCCTTCAAAATTAAGCCAAAAAATGAAGTTGTATATAGACTGACAATTAAATCTCAGGAATGCATGCAAATACAATCATCTTCTTGTCTAGGCCTTACCTCCGCCTTTGTTGATACAAAGGACTGCATGTCCTCTTCCATATCTTTTAATTGTTGCTCCTGTTGTGTTATGCTTCCCTGCCAGAGTCTTATGCAAGAAGCTGCTGAGTTAATTGGGACTGAAATTTCTGGACTAGTATCCGGTTTCCATCTTAAATTTTGTCCTTCATCTCTACAACACCATCCATGGTCAGAAAATAAATAACCCGGAGTTTTGAGGGAGATCAAAGAAGAACATAAAAAATAATAATACAAACCAATTTTTGCAAACAAACTGGACACATCTGATGCAGCATTCTCCAGCTCTGCTCTTAGCTCAATTGCACACCCATCGAGTGATTTCTCTAAAAGTTAACAATGCAATAATAGTAAGAAAGAGTCATTTAAATGTACCTTCCAGCATGAAATTTAATATATGCAAAAAATTTAACATGAACTATTGTAGAATAATCCTGAATGTCGACTGTATAACTTCAAAGTAAGATGAAATGGAGATAATCTATCTATGGTCTGAAAATGCAGATGGTGACACGACAAGTTGTTTTAGCAAACAACTTTGCTCACCCGATTTGAGGAGATTAACTATCACAAATTCCTGCTCTTTGATGGTCGCATTTGCTTCAAATGCTTGTCCTCAAGACCATACAGTGCATGTCCAGTTTCCTCAAGCTTTTTCTGAAGTATAAAGTGTTTAATTATCTCAGAACGAGAGCAGAAAGAACAAAGGACACTCTGTAAGTCGATATTACAAATGTATTACCTCAGTTTTTACAAGTTCATCATTCAATTGTACAGCCAAAAGTTGCTCAGAACTGTAAAGTTCCTGAAGCTCCAGCAATTTCTTCTCTCAAGCCAACGTTACGTTTATATTAGTTCTCACCCTATAGTCAATATTATTCAAAAAGAAAGGAATGAAATCTTGATGGAGATACCTTGTGTTTTGAATCATAATCAAGTTCCATCCGCTCTATCTTTTCAAACATTGCCTACAGTACATAAAGAGTTAATGAAGTTAGTAACCAGTCAGTTGTGAACGTAGGAAAAACAGTCCATAATTTAGTTCAATGACAAGAATAAGACCTTCTTCTCTGCTTCTTCACTAACATAACGATGTCGTGGTATATATATTCCATTCTTCTCTGTGGCAGCATATACCTCTGAATGAACATAAGAAACATGTCATACATTTTAGCCTGCAGCAAAGTAACAATAAGGAATAATTAAATAACCTGTCAAGCAAAAAAATTATCTGGCGACAGAGAGATAGAGAGCACATCAACGCTGGAAGCAGTTAACAACCTTGCTTGAGTCGATGAATCTCAGAATACAAATCGTTGATCAAAACAGACCTCATCGTTTTTTGAATGACCTGAAACAATAAGTAACAACATACCATAACAAGGGTCAGATTGAAAGACAGTTCAACTATATAATTTGAGAGAACATGGATGGGCGTCTACATCGAATCAATACTTCCTATTACTATTACCTTCAGATAATTATTACCTTCATCAAATCAATACTTCCTATAACTATTACCTTCATCAAAAGTTAGATGCTTTTACAGGCATTCTTCAAAGTCTTGGGCGTCTACATCGATTCTAACTTGAACCTCATCATTATCACCAGTTGCATGTTCCACATCCTGTCCATCGCACGGATCATCATCATGTGTTGAGGACATATCAAAGAAATCGCGTGGTCTCGTTTTGATTGCAACATGCCATTCTATATCTGTTGGGTCTTGTACATAGAACACTTGTAGTGCTTGTGATGCGAGAATGAAGGGGTCACTCGTAGACGACATCTTATTGAAGTTAACCAATCTAAAGCCATATCTGTCTGTTTTTACTCCCTCACCAGTATTTCTGGAACTGCCATTAAACCAGTTGCACTTGAATAAAACCACTGTGCGTTCCATATGGTACTTAATTTCAAATACATCAGTTAGAACCCCATAGTAGTCTACCAAACCGGTAACAGGGTTCCGGTCACGTGGGCCAGCATAACTTGGAACATCAGACTGTAGGAAAACACCATAGTTTTGGTAGTTCCCATTGGATTGTGTGCCTCTTACTTTGAACCTGAACCCATTACATACAAAAATCTTATATCTCCGACACCACTTACTAGGTCCATTAGCAAGCGCCACCAAGTCGTCAGTTGCACTTGGATCACCTGATTGTTGCAATTGATTAACCTACACAATTTACACCCAGGTTCATATGCATAGTTAAGAATTGGAAGCTAAATAGGAAACCAGTACACACAGAATCAACTTATTCCGTACTAACATGGTTTTCGAACCAATCTGGGAAGGATTTAATAGCTTCTTTCTATGCTTCTAGCATGGTTACACGCCTCCGTCGAGTTTTTTGAGCATTCTCCACGTAACTTCTGTAGGTGAAAATAAAGTCAATGTCACTCTCTAGAACCAAAAGTAGAGTTTCAGAAGTTGGTGCCATTGAACTGCAGTCTATAACATTTAAGTTTAATCACCTCCTATATGCCATTGACTTATCACAATTGGCTAAAACATACGATCGTGCAATCTCCCAATCGTGGTTGTCAAGATGATAATCTTCCCGTATACCAAGTGAATGCCCGGTGGCACAAAATATGTCAAAGTCGCCCTCATGGTCAAGACGTAATCTATCTGCATTTCGGTTTGGACGGTTCAAACGTGTCTCCACGCCTTCCAAGTACATCGCACAAAAAGACAAGCACTCCTCAGCCAGATATCCTTGGGTCATGCTTCCCTCTGGTCGATTTTTATTTCGAACATACTTCTTCAACGTAAGCAGGAACCTAATTTAAATAGTACAACATCAAATTTGCTGTTCTAAATAGTATGATGCACATATGTAATACCCATAGAAACATACTAAAAGTTAAGGAATACCTCTCAATTGGGTACATCCATCTGTAGTGCACCGGACCTGCAAGTGCAGCTTCTTCGGCAAGATGTATTGTGAGGTGAAGACTGACGACAAAGAACGCAGGGGGTAATATCCTTTCCAATTGGCATAGGATCATCACTATTTTGGGTGTAAGTTTGCGAAAGCCTTCCACTGACCCTTTTTTAGTACACAAATGTCTGAAGAATGCACTTAGTTCTAATAATATCTGTGCAGTCCCAGATGGGAGGCTTTTGCGTATGGCAATTGGAAGGAACTGCTGCATTAAAACGTGCCAATCATGACTTTTAAGTCCCCTAACGATCTTTTCCCTTACATGCACAAGACGTGAAATATTGGACGAGTAATTGTCAGGCACTTTTATTGAGGCTAAGACCTTGCAAAACAATTCCTTCTCTAATGGTTTCATAGTATATGCACCGGGAGGCATCTTTGGCTTTCCATTGACAAATTTGATCTGCAACTCCGGTTTCATGCCCATCAATTCCAGGTCCAACCTTGCATTCATGTTATCCTTGCTTTTCCCAACAATACCCAGCAGCGTTGCAACCAAACTTTCAGTTACATTTTTTTCAATGTGCATGACATCAAGGCAGTGTCGAAGGGCAAAATGTTCCCAATACGGCAATTGGAAGAAAATACTATGTTTCTTCCATGGCCCAACCGTTGGTGTAGGTGGTGGTCTTTTTTCTCCAACCTGTTTCCGTGGCGTCTTACCATATTTGAACCGTAAAGTGGACAACCGCCGAAGGCATTCACGTCCGGTCATAGGGGAAGGTGCTTGTTCTCTTTCGTCAGAAAGATTAAAAGCTTTCCTTTGTCGACGAAAAACATGTGACATGGGCAAGAAACGACGGTGACCCCTATAACAATATTTCCTACCCTTTTTGAGATATGTCGACTCGGTGTTGTAGTTGCAATGAGGACATGCTAATTTCCCATGTGTGCTCCAACCGGACAAGTTCCCATAGGCGGGGAAGTCGCTAATAGTCCACAAAACAGCTGCTCGTAAGGTGAAGGTCTTTTGCCTAAACGTATCATAAGTGGGAACCCCGGAGGTCCACAATACCTTCAGCTCGTCTATTAATGGTTGAAGGTATACATCAATATCATTTCCCGGAGATTCTTTGCCCGGTATTAACAAAACCATCAATATGAATGGTGATTTCATACACAACCAAGGTGGTAAATTGTATATGGTCAACAATACTGGCCATGTGCTATAGTCGGTGCTGCATTTTCCGAAGGGGTTGAATCCATCACTTGCCAACCCAAGACGTACATTGCGCATTTCCCCACCAAATGTTGGAAATTTCAAATCTAATTGCTTCCATGCAAAGGAATCAGCTGGATGTCTTAAGTAGCCATCCTCGGGCCGAGAAAGACCATGCCAACACATATCTTCACTGGTGTGTCGAGACATGTAAAGCCGTTGCAAGCGGGGTGTAATAGGAAAATATGTTAGCACCTTCCGAGGTATTCTCTTTTTACTGCTTGGCGCTGTGTCATCTACCTCGGTTGTATATCTGGACACACCATATGTAGGACAAACATCTAAACCACTGTTATGTTTCCAATACAACATGCAGTCATTTTCACATGCATGGATCTTTTGGTGAGGCAACATGAAATTTTTCAGCAATCCCTTTATACTCATCACCTTCTTTGGTAAAGAATGACCATTTGGGAGTATATGTTTCAGAAGTTGAAGATTAGCTTGTACTGCACTTTCGCTGCACCCATATAAGCACTTGTTTTGAAATACTCGTATTAGGAAATCCATTTTCTTCATACCACATCCCGGATATAATTCCGTATTTGCGTCTTGCACCATGGCTTCAAACTTATGTGCATATTCAGGTATTGGAGCTTCCTGCTCGCTGTGATTATTAATAGGCATGCCACCCATCACACTGGGACCAGAGAAAATATCTTCAAGCAAGGCGCCTAGTTCAGAATGAGGAGTATTAACAGCAGCAAGTTGTTGTGCAGCTTCGCTACTTGGAAGAGGGTCACCAAATGTCTTTCCATGCCATACCCACGAGCCTTGCAAGTATGAATGGTCCATACCTTCAACAATTAGATGCGCTTCGACTTCTTTGTTACTCAACCAGAACCTATTCAAGCATTTAGCACACGGACATTTGATGTTCCCCTCATGAGAAGCAACTTCCAATGAGTTTGAGATAAATTTTGCTAGCCCTGTTCTGTAATCCTCTGTAAACGGATTGAAAGAGGCCCAACTTTTGTCCATCATCACTGAGTATAATCAATAGTTTCTAGAATTGGAACAACAAGGTGCCTAAAGATGAAGAAGGCAAGTAAAATATGTAACGTAAACAAATTAAGTAAATATAGTATGTGAATACTATATGGACAGAATTTACATAAGCAACTGCAAGGGAGAGTATATTATTTTAGAAATCAATTTTTGTAAGTGGGAAAACAACTCCAATCGCATTTATGAGTGACATTGTATATATGAGTCTTGCACAGGATTTTAGGGTGCATGGGATAGTAAGAAGGTCATAAAATTAAGTCACCAGAAGAAGTTAAGGAAAAAGTTCATATACTGAGTAATGTCGGTCGGGCAGTCATTAGTTTGAAATGTAGAGGTATTTAGTATGTTTTGTATACAACATTTGTATAGTATTTGTAGGAATGTGAATCGTGTTTCATTCCAAATTCGTATCTATGTATAGAGGTTTAAGTGTTCCATTCTAGAATGGTTAAAAGTCCATTGTTCAAAACCTCACATATCTTGATTTGCACCATTTGAAAAAAAGGCACGACTTGAAGGAAGATATATTTACCAAATGATTATTCACAGAAAAGCACAGTTAAGAAATGATTATTCACAGAAAAACACTTTTACCAAATAATCAGGCAAGCATTTGAATTGTATTCATTCTAAAAACAACTGAAACAAAAGTTAAAATAAATAAACAGATAGATAGGCTTAAGCACTACATTGCAAATATTTCCCTGAAGCTTATAAAATTAGGTGCGGAAGAAGTTGGGGACAGAAAGAGATGCAGGAACCTTTATGTGGAGTTGAAGAAGCGTTAAATTGGATTCCGAACTTAAATCCGAGGCATGGTAACACAACATTGCGTAGATGCAGAGACCAAAATGTACAACAACCAAACTTAAATTCACCAAAAGCAAAAAAACATTCTGGGTTATGTCTACATAAATGATTTAAAAAAAACGTTTACATCAATTTTTCAGATTCAGAAGAAAAACAAATGGGGAACTACACATGTAGGATAATTCGAAAACAAAACCATTGGATCTGAAACTATTGCCTAGTTGTTCTGTGAATGTTCGAACTAAAACAATAAAACCCAAATGAAATATTAAAAAATTGATTCCAAAGTCCTTACCTTGAGGAGGAAGACGAATGCCAAAAAGCAGAGAAGCAAATTGGGGAAGGAAGGATATAAAAAGAGATAGTGACTGCCCCGACCCTCTCTCTCTCTGTCCCTGTAATTGTGCACCCAAACCATATGGAAAATACAACCGTCAGAAAAGGAAATGAATGGCACATCCAATAGTGAGATAAGGAGTTGTAACCTATATTCATATTACACATAAGCAACAATATAGGAAAAGATGTAGAAGATTTTATAAAAGTGTAGAGAAATGATAACCTATGCATGTATACCACATTTTGTTGAAATGGTTGAAGATCCATTTGAATCAAAATAGAAAGGTATATGCAATGTTTAACACCCAAACCACCCTTATCACTTTTATACCCTGTTGTGGTGTCAGAAGCTTCTCATTTTCTTAGTATGAAGCACATTTTGTGGGAAAAAATTATAATAATAATAACAGTAGTCACTCAAAAAGTAAAGGAGATTACCAAGCAAATGACTTTTAGGTTCTGAATGGTTTAATTATTCCCATCCAGTTGGTGCGAAGACTTTGTTTGTTTCATTTTTGGTGATGCACAAACTCTCACAAATGGTGTTCCTGACAACCAACGCTGCTACTAACAAACTACAATCACAGAAAGTACATCATATGAAAGTAGTTAAATAAATTTGTTTAATCGTAGGTCATAAAGCTCGAAACTTAACGCAAAAAAAATTCAGAACCTCAAATAGAGAACAAAACATCTACATTGACAATAACAACCCCGAACAATGAACGAAACATTGAAATGAAATCCAATCATGTGATACATTTTGAGGTCAATGAGAATGAAATGAGATTATGTACCCTACAGTGGACTGAAAACTGCTCAATGAGAATAAAACAAAGCAAAAAATATAAGCAAAAACTTCATGACAAAAACTGGGTTCCAAAGCACAGCTCAAATTGTAATGCTGAGACTACTGTCTCAATTGAGCGCAGCAAAACAGAGACCCCAACTGCTCAATGATAAAGAGAATGTGTTCGTGCCAATAAACGCCTACTTGAAGTTAGAGAGGGATTTGAAGGACTACTCTACCGATCTTTGATTATTAGTTGTAGCTGTTGGAGAGCGGTGCAAAAGAGCTGATGAGGGGAAATCGCAGAGGCTGATCCTAATTAACGAGACAAAAAGAATGTTTGTACATAAACAACAGTTTGTTGTCCTACAGAGGCCATGTCACTTCCTCATCCACTAATAATGACATTGTTTTGAAGTTGTAGACCACATAAAGAAGCATGGAACGTAGCTTAACTATTAGCTTTCATGCACTGGTATTAGGTATCAGCTAAAAACCATACCAAAACTTAAAAACACACAAAATAGCATATGCAAGTTCGTTCATACCCATGTTAATGTAAGCCAGACTTGCTCTAACAAATTCCATTTTTGTGTTTACACTGTTCACAGAACATAAGAAGAAAATGTGATATCCTTATAGCATAAGCTTAACCAAGAGTGGAACTTTACATAGATAGTTCAACGTATACCCATTTTCTTTCAGTTTGTACATGCTGTAAGGATAGTGGTTTGTTTAAAAAAATGTAGATGCGATTTGCCTAACTCGTGATGTCGTGGAAACAGTACATGGAATCTTATATTTATACACCAACCAATAACTCCTATCTTATATCTGCAATAACAATAATAGGCTTAAACCCTATATGGTTTCCAGATTGTTCCAACTTGAACAGATAGAAGAAGCACTTCAAACTGACCTAACAAAAAACTCCAACAGAATCGCAGACGTAATAAACAAATTGAAATGTTTGGTCTAAAAAATGCTGAATATTGAATCTGTGGAACACAAAATTACCTGTTTAGACTCCCCAAAATCAATGCAGTTGGTTGCAAGCCCCAAATTGATTGTAAGAAACCCAGCTGATAATAAATAATGAACCGAAGAGCTTAATCTGCTGAGAAATTGACAGGGCAAGGTATGCGAAGCAAATACCCAGCCGCGTGGGAGCCGACTTCCGTTGCCCCCTCGAGTCGCCAACTAAACGAGGCCACTAAGCTTCTTGTCCGCTACGCCCTGTCCGCATTGCGCGACTGCGACTGGTTCGCGGAACCGGCCGACTTCATCACTGATGCAATAATGGCCGATATATGCGAGTAGGGTCGAAGGCTCTGTCCTTCTATGGGTTTTGGCTCTGTCTCCCTTTTGTATTGGACGTGCATCCGTAGGTCCTGATAAGCAAAGATATATCCCAGCTTTATAAACAAAAAAATTAACCTACCCTGCCACACAAAATAAATTAAAAAATACATATGAAATTAAAAAGTAGAAGGAAATAAATTTTAAGAAATAAAAATATTTAACAGCCACCAATCATTGGTGGCTGAATCTTGAAGGCCACCAACATCAGTGGCATCCCATGGTAAAGCCACCAAAAAATTGTAAGAGTAGCAACTTTACATAAATGGCCACCAATTGCAAAGGGTGGGAAAAAAATGGTGGCCTATGAGCCAAATTCTAGTAGTGACAACTCTATGTTTATAATTTTGAGACACCAAAAAGGAACAAAGGCTCAATATAGATTTGTCACAACTACTAAACCACCTCGAATTAAACCCAACAATAGACCGTTGGTAAATCCAACTGCTGCTATTGCATCACTTTTGAGTTTTTTGGTTCTGTCTCCTTCACATGGGGTGGACCTCCCTCTGTTGCTTCATGAATCGAGTGCAAGCCCCTGTAATAATTGGCAAGGCAGCTACCAAAACACCTAGCTTTCCGACAATTGCACTTCCCATTTTTCACCGGTCGAGCAACTTCTTTTGGGCAAGAAGGCAATTTCACCCTTGCAATGAGGGATGGGTGGAGATGCTCCCTAACTAAATAGAATACAACTAATAAACTTCCAAGTGGTAGATTGCCGTAGTTTTAAAGAATCAACTCACTACATTCTAGGTATTGAAAAATTTGGAAATTTTAATAGAATTGTGACAAAAGGACCACATTGGTTTGCGATACTTATTTTCTGGGACTACATTGATTGATTTTTAATTTCAAGGACCATCTTGATGGTGAGGGTAAATTTCAAGGACCATTTGTGATAAAAACCCTTAAAAGAATATATGTATAATATATATTTTAATGGTTAATTAATTTATATAATTTGTAGGGATTACAAGTTACCTACGAGGGTAATGGGATCTTTTTATTTCTCAATCTAAGTATGCAGAGATGTGCTTCAAAAGGCTGGAATGACATTGTAAGTTTTGTCTTGCACTTTGTATAGGAGTTTGGTAGGAGCTTTGCAGTAAACTTTCACTATACATGATATAGCCTATATGCTGTGAACTATGCTTGTTATAGTTCATGTCTACTCCAATCGATGCTCATTTTTATCTGGTTAAAAGGATTCTATGTTATCTACAAGGAAATATATAAATTGTGGCCTTTCATATTTTAGTTATTAATTTGGAGTTAGCTTATAGTGATGCAAATTGGACTGCAAAAGTTAATACAATAATGGCGATTTCATGGAAATTCAAGAAGAAATGGTGTTTCTCGAACTTGGAAATACAATTGCATATGTTGCTTGGATACGATACGATTAAGTTTGAAAGATTTTTAGGTATATTTGTCTTCACCACCAAATCTAGACTATGATATTCACTCTCCGCTCATATTAATCCATTGTTTCAGATAAGAATTAAACATTTGGACACAAATTACCATTTTGTTTGAGAAAGGAGTGCAAAAAGGAGATTTGATCATTTAATCACTTTCCTTTATTTTTGCAGCATTGTCTGAATCTTAGGCTGAAATTCTTTGCTGAGATTGAGGGGTATTAAACGACAAGTGTCATCATTCTGTGAGGTGC